TATTAATTAATAATTAATATATTAAAATTTTTTAAAATGGGTGACATATGTTACAATAAAATAATTGCACGTATTAATTGCACATGTTACAAAAAAATAAAAAATACCTTTAATAATTTAAAAAATAAAAATGTGATAAAATTAATAAAATAATAATACCAATACTTTATTTAATTATTTAAATGGTAATTATTCAGAATCACGGCTCCACCTGCAAATGGGCTGCAAATTTTTTTGATAACTTTTTATACTTAGAGAATAATGTAAATAACAATTTTTAATCGGGGGAGGCTCAAAAAAAAAAGTTATAGACCAAAAAGCGGAAAAAACGGGGTAATTATTTCGAATAAGGCCTTCTCTGAATTTTGACAAATATGATCGGATCTCTCGGTAAAACTCTTTTTTGTGACTCCAACAGTAATAATCAGTTGGGGGAGCACGTTCGCCATCACCCCCACCCTTTCAAAAAAACCGAAAAACCCCATAAATTACCAAAGCAAAGCGAGGTCAACCCCACAACCCAAACCAAATTTTAGTTTTAAATCAGAAATTTGGGTTAGGTTATATCTTCTGGAAGTGGAGCCCCCCCGTAGGGGGTGTCTACGCATATACTTTACAAAGCAAAGCGAGGTCCATCCCACAATTGATGTGTGGATGGAAAAGTGTATGCGTGGCCGCAGTGGGTTCCGCCCCCCCCCCCCCTACGGAGGGGCTCCACTTCCAGAAGATATAACCTAACCCAAACTTATTTCTGATTTAAAACTAAAATTTGGTTTGGGTTGTGGGGTGAACTTTATAGTACATAATTACCTAATTTTCGGTAATTTTTGAAGGTTTTCTTTTTTTGGGGGTGGGGGTAATGGGGAACGGGCTCCGACGACTGATTATCACTGGTGGAGTCACAACAAAAAGTTTTACTGAGAGATCCGATCATATTTGTCAAAATTCAGAAGAAATCTTATTCGAAATAATTACTCTTTTTTGGTCTATAACTTTTTTTTTGGGCCTCCCCCAACTAAAAATGGTTATTTATATTTCTTTCTAAACATAAAAAGTCCGTAAAAAAAA